TTTAAAGTCATGTATTGCCAGGAACCAAAGAATCTAGGATCATATTATAACATGTTTGAAGTTGAAGAGTGTGATGGATTTGAGGAGTGTCCTTCCAAGCTTTGTTCTCAGACCACCTCCATCAGAATCTCTTGCTAAATGAAGATTCCTTGGCCCTGTTCCTAGATCCATGAAGTCAGAATCTTTTCTGTTTCTGATTCTGCCCAGGAATCTACACTTTAAACAAACTCCGTGCGTAACTCTGATGCACACTTAAGTTTCATGATTGTCAGCATAGGAAATTACAAAATAGTTTTGTGGGCTTGGGGAAAGGAGAAATTTAGCCCAAACAGCACAATTAAGTATGGGTTCATTATGGTGCAGGGGGCAGTGCAGTCTTCGAAGTCCAAAAGATCCGTGCAGAAATTCTGCATGAAATGCTTCTTAGTGGCCAGGTGCTATGGCTCACACCTGTTTTCCCAGCACTTTGGGAGGCTGAGGTGGGCAGATCACCTGAGGTGGGGAGTTCAAGACCAGCCTGACCAACATGGAGAAATCCCATCTCTACTAAAAATACAAAATTAGCCGGGCATGGTGGCACATACCTGTAATCTCAGCTACTTGGAGGCTGAGGCAGGAGATTGGCTTGAACCTGGGAGGCGGAGGTTGCAGTGAGCTGGGCGACAAGGCCACAAGAGTGAAACTCCATCTCAAAAAAAAAAAAAAAAAAGATTCTCAGCTGTGTGACCATGAGCAAGTGACTTCACTTATTATTAAGCCTCTCTTTCTTCATCTGTGAAATGGGCGTACTAATGCCCTCCTTGTTGTAAAGATTAAAACAAATGTATGTAAAGGGCCTAAAACATAAAAGGTGTTCAGTAAAGTGTTAGCTGATATTATCTTCTTTGTAGCATCCATCAGAATGAGATGTTCCCAGGGTGAATGGGAAGTTACCTGTGTGGGGAAGGAAGATAACTTCTTACTAAGATTCTTTACAGGGTTAGGATGGGTGGGCATAAGGTGTGCAGAGTGGAGAGGAAGCTAACTTCTTTGATAATGTTCTTAAGACTCTTACAAAATGTTTCTCAAAGTATGTTTTCTGCAGTCACCTCTTCACCAGAGAGACTACTGTAAAATACTCCTAATATATTGAGAAATTAAGGGACATCCATTCTTTTTTAAAACTTTTATTCATTTTTAAGTTTTCAAGAACATTTCATCATAAAAATTTCAAATTTTACGTGAAAATGGAGAGACAAGTGTAACAAATCCATAAATACTCATCAATGACTTCCAGTGATTATCAATGTTGGCCAGTTTTGTTTCAACTGTATGTACCCATTCCCCTCAATGGATTATTTCTGAGCACATCCCTAACATCACATATTTCTTCCATAAACATTTTAGCATGAAACTCTAAAATAGAGGATTTTAAAGAAAAAAACCAATAATATCATTATCAACCTAAGGAATTAAGAATATCTCTAATACCTTCAAATATCTGCTGAAGTTTTTAAATTATCTATAATTATAATTGATTCATAGGGACAACAATATTCTAGTTGTATCTTTGTTAATAAATAATTATCTAAAATACATCTACAAAGAGAAACTTTACTTCATGAACTATTTGACTACCCAGATGTACTGTTTACATAGGAATACCAGTATGAATGCTCAACGTTTTTCTATTTATTAGTTTCCAGAGCAATTACTTGGTTTCTTTAGTATTATGCAAAGGAAATAAAGCAATAATACTTCGGTTCTTTAGTATTCTGCAAAGTTCATATTTCGACAAAATATAAATTCATGGAATTAAATATTTTTGATATGTTTCAATCTGTTGTAATTATTATTTATGCTCTAATTGTGCCAAGGTTGGCCAGTGGAGCCTCTTCAAGTTGGCTTTTGAACCTTTTAACATGACAGTAGTAGCTTTAATAGCTTCCTTGATTTCTGCTGTGACAGGATGTTCCACCCTTATCTTGTATATTTTTTCCTCAGAACTGAAATCACCTATTTCTCCCAGAACATGGGATCTAGAGATCATAATTTGCATGTCTAAGCATGCACATTGGTGCTATATTCACTGTAATTTCTAGGCCTTTTCACTGAAAAGGCCACTGGCAGAGGTAGAAAATAAACATCTTTTAGTACATTGTGATTTTTATACCGAATTTTTTCCATGCAAATTCAGGACTGAAGTATTTTTACTTACCTTCTGTATTATGTCTGTATCTCTTTCTCTTATGCCTACATCCTGATTTTCAATAACACCAAATAATTACTCATTTGTTTTATCCTGTAATATACACAAAACAGTTTTAGAACAAAATACCAAGACAGTCATAAAAAGTATGACTGAAATGAGATTAAGATAATTTTGCAGCTCTTTCAGGCTTAGAGTTTTTCCTGTTAGGCTGTATGGTCGATGTCCGTGTTTTAATGTCACTGATCTCCATGTAGCTATGCTACCTGGTCAAACGTGCATTCATATGTTTAATTTTGTTTGTGATTTTTCTGTTTACAAGTTAATTTTCATGGTAATTATGTAAAATATTTACATGATTTCAAAGTCTAACCTTCAAAACCAAGATACAAGTATAAGGTATGACAACTAAGGTATCTTCCCCTAGTGGTGATAATTCAAAATGCCTCCAGACATTGCCAAATATCCCCTGGGAGGCAAAATCACCTCTGATGACAATAGTATTTATTTACACATATATGTACATTTATGAATCTCATGCCCTGAATAATGGCGTTGAGGTCAACAATGGACTGCGTCTATGATGGTAGTCCCATAAGAGTATAATGGAACACATATAACAACTTGATACACGGCACTTGACATTGGCATTGCTAGGGGAAGTAACTGATATTCAGTACCATTGTGCTGGTACATTTGGATTTCCATATGAAAAAATATACACACATAAAAAGATCTATACCATCTAGGTTTGTGTAAGTGTACTCTATGATGTTCACACAATGACGAAATAGCCTAACGGTGCATTTCTCAGAACACATCTCAGTCATGAAGTGATGCATGACTGTATAGTTATTTATATCTACATTTCCTCTTCCCATTACTTAGACACACAGTTGCCAACTGCCCTTTTCTTCACTTAACATTTGCCACTCAATAAAATCTATCCTAGAGATCACTCCCTGATATTACGGAGAGCAATTCCTCATTCCTTTCACAGTTATCTAGTGCTCTGTTGTCCCCTTCCTTATTAAATTGTAGCATTTTTCCAGCTCTTCTGCTCATGTGTATAGAAGGGGTCCATTACCATTTGGGCAAGTACACCGAGAGAGTTTCAGGTGCCCGAGGGGTGAGAAAATTAGACAGCAGCCAGGCGCGGTGGCTCACGCCTGTAATCTCAGCACTTTGGAGTCCGAGTCGGGGGGATCACCTGAGGTCAAGAGTTTGGGATCAGCCTGACCAACATGGTGAAACCTCGTCTCTACTAAAAACACAAAAATTAGCTGGGTATGGTGGCCGGTGCCTATAATTCCAGCTACTCAGGCTGCTGAGGCAAGGGAATCGCTTGAACCAGGAAGTCGGAGGCTGCAGTGAACTGAGATTGCACCACTTCACTCCAGTCAGAGCAACAGAGAGAAACTCCGTTTCAAAAACAAAACAAACAAACAACAACAACAACAACAAAAGAAAAGAAAAGAAAAGAAACAAGAAAGTGAGACGGCAAACTAAAAAAACCAGAATAACTTATCCTTCCCCTGGCCACCGCCCATCTACATTTGATTAAGCTCCAAAACAAGTTTTAGTCTTTCTCTCTTCCCCATCAATGACTGTTCTTTAAAAATAAATTTCCATTGTGAAAGATCAAAGTTTTTCAAATCTAGGAGAAGTCTGCTTTTGGCTTTTTAAAAATTATTGTATTATTTTCTCATTCCTGGACTTGGATCTAGGGATGTCCTGTATGCCAATTTGCAAGAGTGTCTATTTGGGCGTGTAGGCTGCCCAAAGCTGTATTAGTTTTATAGAGTCCATGTTAGTTTTCTATTATTTATTTTCAGATTTCAGGGGACTTTTTCTTATCTCATTGTGCCAAGGTGAGTGCTCTGTCCACTAGTGTCCTGCAAGAGTTGTCAGCAACCATGAGGTTCAAAACATTATTCCAGGTTACTAAGTGGAATTAAAACCTAGGCATGAGGAATTCTTTTTCACTGTGATCAAGTAGCAACTACAAATGTTAGTTTCTTCTGAAGATTAGCAGGCACAAAAAAAAAAAAAAAAAAAAAAAGCTACCGGATGTGAGGTGGGACACAAAGCTCCTTTGGTGCTGAAACAATTCTCAGAATGAAGATTTGAGGCCAGCCAAATGGAACCCCCAGCTGGGCCAGAGGAAATGAGGCCTCAGCCTTCACCAGGGGAAGACACAAGAGGAGCCCTGAGCTGAAAGTGATGATGGGCTGATTCTTTTATGATTTCACAGAAGCCTTAGACCACAGCAATCTGTTCTCCGTAACAAATGAGAAGGGCCAGGCTCAAATTAATTATTTTGGCACTATTATCATACAGACCAATTCAGTACATTTATATAAAGCTAAATATTAAACCTATTTATTTTCTCCTCTGGCTCATAAGCTGTCCTTCCCCTCCCCCCATAATGGGTTACACTATTAAAGAATGAGAGCTAAAATTTCAGAAAATTCATTTCCATATGAATATCATATTCTGCAGTTTGAAAAAGTACACAAGTATAAAATATACTCCCTTCTGATGTGGTCCCAGGGGGAAGAGTCAGGGGAGGTCTTGCTAACGGTGAGGGTGTGAATGCTGAGTTGGCAGAAAGAAGAGAGGATGGAGGATGCAATAAAGAATGTGATCATTCCTAGTTTTTAAAAATAAATATTTTGTAAGAACGAAGCTTGCAGTCTGCTAACACAGAAATTTAGGATGCCATTTTCCCAATGGTCCCTAAATTATTTCATTTAAATCTTTCTCCATTGTATCAATCAAACCCACCTCTCTGAACTTTCCTTCCTTACAGAATTGCAAATTTTAATATCTGCTTTTAGAATTATCTCCTGTCTACAAGCAATGGACCAGTAATAACACCCATTCAAGAGCAACATCTGAAACAACTTCATATAATGGAAAGGTGGGACAGATTTCTTTTGGCCGGTTAAAACACCATATTGAACAAATTATTTGCTCTTCAGTAATTTTTATCTTTTATTTTCTCTTTTCCTAGGCTCAAGATGAATCTGCTTACGCCTGTTTTTTGCTTGCCTTTAATCATACAAATAGCACCTAGCCTATTCTTCCATCTCCTTGCCGCTCCCCCACCCTCCTTCATTAGAAGGTTCCCTCTGTTCCCATTTCCTCTTTTACTTCATTGTGAGCAGCTGGGCTATGTGCTTACAGCAAATTAGCTGTAAAATAAAGCAGGCTTTTTTCCCTTTTTCTTTTTTTTCGGGGCGTTGTGGGAGAAAAGGTGGTTAGAGAAATTATCCTACAATAAGCAAGTGTGGACAAGGATCAAATAAGCAGAAGAAATAATCCTGTTGGAGGGTTCGCTCACACAGATGAACCATAGTTAAGTGTATTTCCCTCCTGGGGGGTCTCTGTTGCATCCTTCTGGATCCTTACTCTCAAGTTCTTTACTAGTGGCATTTTCCAAACAGTTCTTGATTTTCACAGACATCCACCAGATGAAACCCTGGTTGGAACGTGTAGTACTTTAAAATATTGAAATCCAACTGCAGTCTCAATGTTGCTGGCCTCGCTTCTTGTGTATGTTTAAAAATGCAACAACAATTGTCACAGTTATTCATCGATGTAAAAATTTCAGGCAGGCACTGAAATTGTATATGGTCCCGAGAGGAAAATTAGTTCTAAAGGTAAGGAAGTAGAAATAAGCAGGATGAGAGAGAAAGGCATCATTAGACAAGGTCCTTCTCCTAGCAACAACTCACAGGTATTTCGGCACTCTGTCTCTGGGGTGGGAGATGTTGATTTTTAGTAACAGCCTGTTAGTATTTAAGATGCACCCTTCCTGAAGATGCTGAATGGCCACACATAGCAGACTCTTTATAAGGTCAAATAAAGTCCTCCATGCTTGGATTCAGCATCACTGACAAGGTGTTGCTAATTGGTATCACATGGCCTGTCTCCCAGTGGGGTTGAAATTTAGTATATTATCACTTCTCTACCCTACCTCAACCAGGACAGACATACCTCAAGAGGGGTGAATGGAAATAATCCTTCAATAGAGAAGGGAGGTGGTCCCCTTAGCATTTACTGGACGCCCCATCTTTATACCTATTGGTTGTCAAATTCTTTCGTTAAGCAATGAAATATTTTATTTTACAAATAAAACATTACTTGGCACATAAGTATGCAAAGTAGCAAAAGGAACATTTGAATACCTCAAATTTGTTTTGCAATTTACAAATTATGCAAGCATAATTTTAAAATTAATTTATTTAAAATGCACTCAAAGAGAATTCTGAGGATGTTTGGTTGTACAAAAAAGTTGAAATTGTGATGGCTGTTGCCACATTATAAGAGCCTCATTACCCAATTCCTCCCTCTCTACTTATGTTTTTTTGTTTATTTGTTTTGGTTACAAAGTATGGAGAAAATTCTGATTCATACATGTAAGTAGAGGGAAATGGTAAGGTTTTTGTTTTTTAATGACATTTACTTTGTAACTTTAGAATATTCTCTATTTCCCAGGAGATGACCACAGAAGAAGGTCTATAAAGTTGGCATAAAAACAAATTAACCTGACAGCATCAGGCTACAGGTGGAAGTATCAAATTTGTTCACATCACTTGATGTTTCAGTTTACTGTTTAAGAGTGGTTAAGCATATTTAAAAGTGCAGTTCAAATGAAATGTTTGTAGAGTCTCTGAAACACTGTGGCAGGCTCTAGGGTGAAGAATGTGGCTTGGAAACCATTGCGTTGGGGGCATTTCCAGAGATATTACTGGTAGCACTAGTATCATCTTGGGAGAAAAGTCACAAAAATCAGTGAGACAGGAGTGTGAGTATGTTTCCTAAAAAGCCATAAGCACTTTGGAGAGCGTCCACCTCCTATTTCATGATTGTTGGAACAACTTTTCTGTCCCACTCTTTTGTTACTGTCAGAGTTTCTGTAGTTGATGCCATGCAAATTGAGGATGCTGGTGATGGGTTTGGAAGCCCTTCCTGAGCCTCAGGGTTCTAGAGCTGTGTGGTGCGCTCTACTTGTCCTCAGTCACATGGTGCTACTTACATTTAAATTTTATCAATTAAAATTATGTAAATTAAAAATTCATGTCTGCAGTTTTCACTAGGCACATTTCAGGCACTCAACAGTACGTGGGGACAGCATAGACTTAGAACATTTTTATCATCACAGAAAGTTCAATTGGACAGCACTGTTCAGAACGAGAGCCACTCATCTGCCTGGCTGCCATTTTCAGGTTCCTCTTGAAAAGAGCTTATAACCCAGCATAAGATTATCTTTTTGGTTAACACAAACTTCCCCTACATTGTATTAGAACTCCTTAAATGAAAGATGGGGGTAAACACTTGGTAATGTCTTCTGGTCCCCAACACAGTCCTCGTTTGTAATGATCCATGATAGAATAATAGAGTAAACCGGGGCTTTTATTTGAGAATTCCCTAAAGGATCATAATGGGTGAACATAATGATTAAGGGAAGGAATTGTGAAGCCAGGCTGCAATGTCTGAATTCATTTAGCCACTTATAGGCTGTTTCATCTTCGGGAAATTAATCTCTGTGTGACTCTGTTTCCTGCTTTGGGATACTACTACTATTTACTTCATCAAGTCATTGTGAGAATTAAGTGAAATATTGCATTTGAAGCACCTTAGCATAGTGACTAGTTCTTATTGAGCATTTGATATAGGTCACCTATTTTTATTACCATTACAACCTGCTCAAATGAGGAATTCCAATCTGGAGGTCATTCTTTGAACAAAAGGTTTGAAAACATGAAGCATGAGAAAAGTGATTTTAAAAAATTTCCCAGATGAGAAAGTATTAGTAAAAATGTGAACAGTGAGAAGGGTGTCTGGTTAGGATTGGAAATCATCAAATATCACAGATTCCTCATTTTTTCGTTTCTTTGAAGGCCCTAGTTGGGAATGAAATGTCTCTCTGTTATTGACACATGTGCATGACATCTTGGCTGAAAATTGAATTTGTGGGTCCCAAATTATTCTCTTCAAACATTCAGAGACGTTGCACCATGGTTTTCTGACATTTGGCATTTGAGAGCAATCTGGCCTAATATTAGTTACCTATTGGGTTAGCGGTGTCTTTTTCTGAGTTCCCACAGAATTAAACTGAATCAAGGATCCACATGCAAGTAATTTATTTGGGAAGTGAAGGTAGTAGAGTAGAAAGGGCGAGACATAGAATGAAGGCAGCCAATATAGGATGCATAGTGTGTTATTGAGCCAGGTACCACTGTGTATACCTGGAGCAGTGAATTCTGGGAGCCAGTGAAAATCACATTTCTCAAAATTAACCTGTCAGTGAAATGAGAGTGACCTTGGTATTTAATCACCAAATCCTGCCTCTCATTGGTTAGCACACTCCTGGGGTTGTTGGTTCCTTAGGTCTTGCAGACATCTGCAAGGGCAGACAAAAAGGCTATAGTGTCACCAAAAGGCCTGATAAAAGAATCCAAAAGTTGGCAGCTAGAAATCAGCCTGGATTGCACTGAAGTGCTAAGTGTGAGGGCGCACAGGCAGGGACCAACAGTGTCTGCCACTGAGGGGAACCTCTTCTGCACAGATACTTAAATGATTGGCCAATTGATTAATTATAATTCCATGGGTTGCTTTTTTTTTCCCTCCGTGCTATTTTGGACCTTTTGCTCTCTCTGGATTTCACTTTTTCTTAGTTTCTTTCTGTCTCTTCTTCTGCAGAATGGGCCCTGGGCCTGTGCCAGGATTCCATTTAGGAGAAGGGGGAGCTATTTGGCTGATTTGTAAGGTGCTTAGAAGAGTTTCTGGCATATATGCAGCTCTATAAGGATTTTTGAATCAAACGACTCTGAGGTAGTTACGATTAGTTATTACACTCATTTTACAGATGAGAAAACTGAGGTTATGTAATTTGCCCAAGGTCACACATGTGCTAGAAGGGAGAGGCTGAGTCCAACCCTGGGCCTCCTGGGTCTAGATTTCCCATTCGTGACCACTTGACAATTGCCGTACTTGACAATTACTTGAGATTTGCCATGAGCCTATTACTCACCCCCAGATGGAAAAAAGCAGGAAGTTGTTTTTGTTCCCACCAAAAAAGGTTTGCCAGATAATGTTCTCATGTCTTGATGTGACTGTTAATAGCATCATCTTCTAAACCCAAAACATCAAATCTGCATTTTCTCCAGGCACAATTGGTGTTCCCTTCCCTGCAGCAGAATAAAAGCTAAATATGCTATAAGCCTCTGTTAAGTTCTATAAGGTGTATGGGATACATGTACATAAAATACACTCACACACATACACACACACTTTTTTTTCCATAAAATACCTGTGGGTGTTTTCACTCTTTAGGTACCACTAGAATTCTGAGCACTTTGAATCGATTTTTTGACATGTTGGAGTAGAGATGGGTGATGTAAGGTGGAGATGTAGAGAGGTGTGTGGGATTTAACTGAGTTCTGGCCACTCTCTCCTACTTAGGAAGTGCAGCAGCACCACCATTCCATGCTTAGGTAGGTAAAATGTCAGTACAGGTCGGAGAGGTCTATCTATGGAGGCATCTGCTCCCTGCAGCCCCATGAGTAATAGCCTGGGTGTGGAGTGAGTGGGAGAAACATCTACTCAGCAACAGAAACTGACTGCTGTGCATGCAGAACCAGGCCACAAGGAGAGAGGGAGGAGACCCACGACAGTGGGCTGCCGGCGGCCAGAGGCAGCGCGCTAGCAAGCAGCTTCTCCTCTCTCCCTCGCTCCTTCCCTAATAGGAGTGGAATCCACGCTGGGATAGGTGAGATAGCACACAGGCAGATTGCCCACCAGATGGTACAATCTTCTATTTAAGAAATATTTGAAAGGGCAACAAAATACAGCAGAAACCATCCGACAGTCCACATGGCTAATGCAAAATTAGCCAAAATCATGGCAGCAGCA